AAAATGAAACTTAATATAACCTGAAATCAGTGTGGAGATCTACTCCACTCCACTCCACTCCACACAGCAGAAAGTGTGAACAACATCCAGATTTCAACACCAACACCAATATCAGTCAAGTCAGTGCTTCGATGTGATGATTGAGAGACTTGGCGTGTCCTGAAAAGCATCCCCAACAAACTGCACACAGATATCATGAACAGCTGCCACCTACACTCACTCGATACTGACACTGAAGATCAGATGAGATGAGATCAGATGAGATCAGATGGCGAGAATAATAAGAATGATGAAGTAGGAACTGTGAGTGGCGACGAGACAACCAGGGATCCATCGCCCAACAAATATGCAGACGAAGAAAGTGGTGATGGATTGTATTGTACTGGACTGGATAAACACTGAGGAGAGTATTTGGGGACATGACGGTCTAGGCCAGACCAGACCAGGCTACGCTACGCTACGCCGTCGAGTGGAATCGAAATGCGAAACGCGGAGTTGGGTGTTCAAGGCGAGGGTGTGAGGGAGAAATGAAAGCTTGTGGTGAGTTGTGGAGTCAGGTTTTGAAGACTGTAGAGAAGAAAGTGAAATGGCGATGTGGAACTGAATCCCTATGTTCCACTAGGTACCCAAGGGACAAATAATAATAATAATATAAATACTGGTCATCCAAAGAATGTTGATTTCTTGCATTAGAGTGAGATCAAGGATGAAAATATTAAGAATTCTGTAAGTCAGTGTAGCAGTAAAAGTTGGCTACTGTGATGAATTACAACTCTGCATTAGATTAGTTTGGATTAGATAAAATTTAGAACTGTGTGAACGGTATGAACACAAAGATAGTGAACGGAACTGAACCGATGACTGATATACTGAAAAATAATTTTGGTCAATAAGTTAAATGATGCAATTAGAAATTAAGTGAATTTTGAACAAAGGTATGTGTACATTGATTAATCACTGAAGAATAACTGGGCACAGAAAATCTGAAATTTATTAGCCTCCAGTGACCAATCAGTGTATCTGGTCTCGCACCATAGGAGTTCAGTCGCAACTTGTATGTGCACACTGTGTTACTTGTTAGTAACTTATCGTATATGATAGTAAAAACATTTAATACAGTCTATTGCAACTCATACCTACTATAATGAGTGTTGAACTGTCACTGTAGACACTAGCAGCAGTACAGTTTATCAAGAAGGAATGTTTTGCTCATTCTTCATACCAAATTATCCTTATGGAAAGGAAAACAGTGGATAAATATTCGTTGGTATCTCTAATTCCCCGATATTATACTGCATCGAAGTGATAGCATACTGTTAGCATATGCTCTCATATATACCGACACAACTCTATCAGTTTGTCCAGTATAACAACGGAGAATTACAAATACAAACACATAATAATAATTAATACCCGTTGTACAAGAGGTGGTTATCGTGCCTCAGTAGTCTAGTGGGTGACTCTCTGGAATCTTAAGCGATGAATACGAGTTTCGAATCTCAGTGACAACAATATCACTCACTGGGAGGCAGGTACATCCAACTGACGAGTCTCTAATAGGGTGAAACGCTCATCCTGGATTCTACTGCAAGCCACAACAAAGTCACTTATAAGAAGAATAGCGGATCCTAGCGTTACCATACATATTAGTTTCAATCCGAAAGTTATATCATCTGAGATAATGGAATGTGATGCAGCTTTTGGTGAGAAACTGATAGGTGAATCGTAGCAATCAACATAATACTTTACTATTCTACCAATGACCGCGACTGAAAGTTATGGCTTTGGAAACCAATAAGATGAGTTTGTTCATGGTTTCGAAGATAAATTCCAGGCTTCTTTAGATGATCGTTGTTTTCTGGTAAAGATAAAAGTAAACGCTGATGAGCATTTACAATTTTTTTTAAGTCAAGATAATCATCACTTTATTGTAACAGAAAGTAGTTCCCCAAAATCAATAGCCTAGGGTTCGACAAGATTCAACATTGATGCTGATCTTCATAGTTTTAACGGATCTGTTAAGCTGAAGTCAGACGATCAAGAGTCCACACCATTTGGAAGGTAGTTGTAGTACGTTGCATTAATCATACGTGATCCTCTAACCAGTTAGTCGGCACACATCAGTATTTTGGTACGCGTTATCAAGTATACTATTCCATCTGACTAGGCTATTGTTTTATTTCTTGGTCTCGCACTCACGAATTTAGAAAAAGTACGAATAATTAGTGATTAGCTTTTACGTAAGTCAGGTGCGCATAAGATCAATTCGTAAAGTATAGTCTTCATTTCCAGCTCACCGCAACCTGACACTTCAAAAAAGAACAAATCGTGTGTGCGTACTGCTGAGGAATCCCATACTAGGACGAAACAGCTGTCTAGGCCTGCTAGATTTTCGATGGTTCCGCAATTGATATCGGTACATGATGAATTCTACTTTTAAATTCTAATTTTATAATATTTATGTAATTTCAAGATTGATGTTTAAATCCTTGAAAGACAAGATTTTACTGAAATGAATGAGAATTTTTATTACTGACAAATTTTGCTGAATTTCAGTAAGCGTATTTAGTAACACATAACGCTCTTATTGGTAATCCTTCAACAAGAAGTTCAAAATACATTGGAAAGGAGTTGTATTCTAGGGGGAAAAAATAACTATTTGATACTGACAGGTTTTCAACGGTTCTACAGTCTATGTCAATCGATGATGAATATCTTGTTGTTAGAAACGCCAAATGCACCTATTCAATTAGTCTCGCTATTTTAAACAGTCATTCACCAGGATTTCGTCATGGTGATAATCAATTTCAAAGGCAAAACTTTCCAATATCCTGAGAAAAGATATATGAGGCTTATAGAACCGTAGTGTATTCTCATGCTTCAATCTATAGAGGTTAAACAAGCTATCTTACAGTTTTGAAGGTTCATCCAATTCGGTAATTATCAAATTCTTGTCGCAAAACAAATTATGTAACTTCCAGTTCAAATAATCATGGTTAATTCATCATTTTCCACCTACTACTAGTAATGAGATTCATCTGCAATAGTTTATTGACTACTAGCTTGTTCAACTGAAATACTTCAAGATGGTTAGTGCGTCACACCAACTTTTTTTCAGTTATTACTACCCACCTAAAGTTTGATAAATCTATCTTCAGGAAATTTTTAGTTCTCTGATACTTGCATTGATAGGTGGATGATGTTTCTGCAAACAAATTGGAATAGGGAACTGAAATCATTTAAAACAGTTTCGAGGCATTCGGCATTACAGATTGACATGAGGTAGAAAAAGAGACTTATTGACAAACAAAGCGTTCTGTTGAGGAATCCCTAAGCAAAATGAAACAGGTGTCTATTTGTCCTCAGTTTCCAGAGATTTTTAGGCTTTTCAAGGATACTGTTTATTTCGAATTAAACATTCTATAATGGCTTATTAAGAAGTTGTGCATAGTCAAATAAAACTGGGGAAAATCTCTCTTCTTAAGTGAAGAGTTCATAAAAACCCTTTATTTGACTATTGTTCATTGTTTGCAGGCATACCTCAATATTTGATAAGCATATGTCACTTATGCATACAACGTTCTGACTGATATTTTGACCGTGGTAGTTTTCAGTAGACAACGTAGAGGGAGAAACTTCACTAAAGTGCCTGTGAACTGGCAATCGTTTTGTCAGCTACTTACTGCTTATAATAATCGATTTCTTCGAGAACAATAGATACTGAATGCCCCCAACATTCTTAACAGAATAAAGGGAATAACCACTTTCTAGTATCAGCATAACACCACTGAAAAGGGGGAAAGCAGTTGGTCAAAAACTTTGTGATACCTGAAACAACTTTGTATATTTTTATCATCAGTAATTAACCGCTCAAACAAACCACGTAAACACTTTAATAACAGTTTCAGGTTGGTATTTATCGTGGACTGACATCAGTTGGAGGAACATTAGAAACCTAGGAGGGCTGGACAGCTGTTTCGTCCTATTAGTATGGGACTCTTCAACATTGCGCACCCATGATCCTACCAGGGATAGACTCCGAAACCTCCAGGTACTACTGCTAACACTGGGTAGGAATCCAATCGTCCATACTTTCTACTTCCAATGTTCCACTAACTAATGTTAAACTATGATGAATAGCAACCTAAAATCGATAAATCCTCATAAAACTCCCAAATTAACTTTAATAATGATTGTTCTCTGAAACAGAAATCAGGCAAAGTAAAAATCTCTTCTCATCAAGTAGTATTTTATGATATTGAATCATAACGACATAGTCGTTATTCTAAATTCAAATGGTCAGCACCCGGAATCAATAAAGTAATGACAATCCCTAGTAAGATTGGTGTCAATATATACTTGGTGTGATTATTATTATTATTTGGATCGTATATTTATTAATATAGGAGTGATATCTAGTTAACTACAGTCTAGGCTAAATAACCGAACTTTATAATTCAGATTATGATGTGATGAACGTGAGTAACTCTTAGGCTCATCCTAGTAGCTAGTGAAATAATCAACTATCTTACCAAATTTTATGAAAAGAAACCCACCCATTCAGCAGAAGTATAGGAACCTAATTGGTTATTTCAACACTTGTTAGGATGGTCTTCCCAATTTCTTTATATACAGTGACTTCAAATAAGTAACTGTATAGGCCACCCTAACAGCAAATGAAAAAAACTAATTAATTTTCTCTATCTAATGAAAAATCTGCCTTCCCACTTTAAAGTAAGAAAGGTAATTAGCTATTTTAGTTATTACTGGAATGATGGGCTTTAGAGTCACCCCATTTAAAGTCATCCTATCAACGATCAAGCAGACAGTCAAGTGTGTTTATTTCAGTTGGAAAGGTGAATTTTCATAAAATACAAATTGGTTATTTCTAGTTGATGTTAAGGTGGCCTTTAGAGTTACTCTTTAGGTCTTTCAATAATTTCAAAATTCTAGTATATTCATGAAAAAAAGGATCAATCATTAAAATTTCATAAACTTACGAGAATAATCAACTGGGAGACTAACAGAGAATTCGAATGTGTTCAATATCAAAAAGGTAGGAATTATAAAAGTTGTAAATAGCATATTATGAAATATATTGTATGTGATAATTCCTTATATATTAGGTGAATACACATATATATTTAGTACAATTAAAAACTTTAATCCAAGGTTTATTAAAATTAATCAACTATTTGTTGACCGTTTAATGATGATTGAATCAATGAATTTGGTATTTACTAGATAACTAAGATGAATTAGTTGCATATACCCATTCATTTCATTATATGTATGCACCTTGGTGTATGCATAAATATACAGACAAGTGTTGCATCATTCAAATTTATTACTATTACTATTACACTAGTCTATTCACTTTATTCAATTGAAAAGAAGACAAGTAATCAGATAATTGAAGTATTTTAAGCATATGGGCATTGCCAGATATTGATGATTAGCTAATCTTCATAGAGAATTTTAACCAAGGAGGAAATTTCGTAGCTTGTTGATGGAAGCTCTTCATATATTAGTGAAGCAATAAAAAACAACATTTTCAGTAAACAGATATGTTAATTTTTATTGTGTAGCTTTGAATTAGTTATAAAATAGTCGAAAAATAATGTACAATTAATATGGATTAGAATCAGTGGTCTCAGGCCTCTTAGCTCCTTTTGAGAGCTTATTCAAAATCCTCCACAGGGTTTCATCGAATCACTCGAAGGGAATAAGATCAGGCTGTAGCGTCACACACTTCCCCAAAATCAATAGCCTAGGGTTCGACGACTTTCGACATTGATGCTGACCTTGATAGTTTAACTGGACTCGCTAAGCTGAAGGCACCCGGTCAAGCATCCTCGCCATTTGGCACGCTGTCGTGTTACGTTGCATTGCTCGTATTCGACTCTCTAGCCAGTTAGTTGGAACGCATCGGTATTTTGGCATAACCATCCAAATATACTATTCCATCCGACTACGCTATCGCGTTCTTCCTTGGTCTCGTATTCGTGGGTATATAACAAGTTCGAATAATTAGTGATTGGTCTTTGCGTCTGTCAAGTTCGCACCAGGACAAATCCTAAATTGGTGGGCCCGACATGATCACATATCCCGATCAATAACAAATATTGAATTGGTGAGCCTGTTCCATTTTATACTTGCATATTGTTCTCATTTTGATAACCTTTATATATCCATATACAACTCCTTCTCATGTCCGACCATACTCCCAATTTTGTCCGTATTAAGCCGACTACGAACACGATCCAACTCGTGCCATATTGGCCAGACAATGCAGAAACATGGTTTCTGTATGCCGAGGCAGATTTTCGAGGACAGGGTGTCTCAGATCCTCATTCTCGATTTCTTGCTGTCATACGTTCACTACCGCGAGAATTAAACAGGTATGTTACAGCACACATGTTTAATCCTGAAGTAAGTGATCCTTATGCACTTCTTAAGGCCGCACTCTTGAAGAAAAGCTATCTCACAGATCGCCAGCGTCTGGACGAATTAGTTCGTAACATCGAGCTAGGCAGCAACTCAGCTACTGAAGTCCTCGCACGCATGCGAGAAGTTATGGGTGCACGAACATTCGACAATGGCCTTTTCCGAGAACTATTTCTCTCAAAACTACTACAACCAGTGCAAACCGTGTCAGTGACACTGCACTCAGTCCCACTCGATGACCTGGCAGCCTCAGCAAATAAAATACTGGAGATTTCTAGCAGACTCGTCTCCAACGTATATTCTGTCTGCGACAAACCAGAGAGCCAGGATTCAGAGGTGACCAAGCTGTGCAACTCTGTTAAACAGCTGCTACGATCTCGAAGTACTAGTTCACGTAGAACTATACAGAAACGCGTCTTAGTGCATCGCAGCAACTCTGGCAGTCGCCCCAAAACAAAACCTAACAGGGTCGAAAACCCTGAATGGTGCTGGTTTCATAATACTTACGGAGACGAGGCCAGAAAATGTGAGAAACCATGCAGTTTTAACGAGGACACAAATTCGGGAAACGGTCACGCCGGCATGTGTTCACGGCATCCGTAGCCGGCGGAAACAGCCGTTTGCTCTACGTCACCGACATAAAAACGAAAGTTTGCTACCTCGTCGACACCGGCGCAGAAGCTAGCGTTCTTCCCGCACCGACAAAGGAGAGTCATCATGACCCATCCTTCAATCTTCAAGCAGCCAACGGCAAGGCAATCGCGACATTTGGGAGACAGTATGCCTACCTCAATTTAGGTTTACGTAAACCTATCCACTGGATCTTCCTCCTTGCTGACGTCTGTATGCCCATCATTGGCATAGACTTGCTAAACCATTACGATCTACTCGTAGGTGCTTGCCGCCGACGACTGAAAGATAAAAACACAAGTTTATCTATTGGCGGCACCACCTATGTAGGTCCGAGTTTAGCCATCGTTAGAATCAAACAATCAGGCGACGCGTCCTACCAGGCAGTTTTGGAGAAATATCCAGAGTTGCAGCGACCGAAGCACACTCTTCCATGCATAACCAGCAGTGCTATGCATCACGTGATAACCACAGGTCCACCTGTCGCATCCAAAGCATGCCGTCTAGCCCCGATAAGATGAAAACGGCGAAGAGTGCATTTGACCACATTCTGAAACGGGACATTATCAAACCTTCAAGTAGTCCTTGGGCATCACCATTAAATATGGTTCCCAAAAAGGACGGCAATGACTGGCTTCCAGCCGGTGATTACCTAGGGCTTAACGCCAAGACGACACCGGACTGCTACCCGATACCTCACGTTTACGATTTGACTGCAACCTTATGCCGAATGAACATTTTCTCCAAAACCGATTTGGTCAAAGCGTACAACCAGATACCTATGGCAGAAGAAGATATCACAAAAGCAGCCATTATTACTCCTTTTGGCCTGTTTGAATTCCTGCGCATGCCATTTGGTCTTCGGAATGCAGCACAAACATTCCAATGCTTCGTGGACGATGTCTTCCGTGGTTCAAATCTTGTCCACGTCTACATCTATGACTGTCTAATTGCGAGTCCAGATAAGGAAACTCACCTCAAACATTTGGACCTCGCATTCGAAAGACTAAAGAACATGGCATCACAGTCAACTTACAGAAGTGTGAAATAGGATTTGAATCACTCAGCTTCCTTGGGCATACCATTGACAGCAAAAGTATACGCCCATTGAGAGATAAAGTGGCGGCTATCACAAGCTATCCAGAGCCGACCACTGTGAAACATCTATGCACTTTCAATGGCCTGGTAAGTTAGTACAGAAGGTTTATCCCCAACTGTGCCTCTGTCATGAGACCACTAACAGATCTAATTCGAGAAACTACGAAGTTCGTGTCTCTGGACAAGGCGGCTAGACTTGCTTTCTCTAAAGTCAAGGAAGCCATTTCGAACGCAACCATGCTTATGTATCATGACCCCAATGCTCCTCTGAGTATTGCTGTTGATGCATCTGACTCAGCAATTGGAGCAGTTTCGCAACAATTGACTAACAACCAGTGGCAACCGTTGGCCATTTTCTCGAGGCGGCTGCAAGACGCGGAAACAAGATGCAGTGCATTCGATAGGGAACTCCTAGCTATTTACTGTTCTGCACGCCATTCTCGACATTCGGTGGAAGGTCATGACTTCATTATTTTCACAGACCACAAACCATTAACCTTCTCTCTTAGCTTGGCATCTGACAAATACTCCCCGAGTAAGCCACGATAGCTTGATTACATTTCCCAGTTCACGTCAGACATCCGCCACATTTCTGGAGCAAATAGCTCCGTAGCTGGTGCACTATCTCGACTAGCTTCGGTAAACTGTACCGAGAGCGCTGATCTCGTTGAACTAGCTCGGTGTCAAAAAGAAGACCTTGAGCTGCATCATGAGTTGTCGTCCACAACTCTCAAGCTACAACTGTGTCCAGCAGGATCGGGCAATGATACGATTTTGAGTGATGTCTCTGCTAGTCAACCACGCCCAACAGTTCCGAAGAGTTGTCGACGCAACGTCTTTAATACGTTGCACAAACTGTCCCATCAAGGTGTACGAGCCACCGTCAGGCTTATCGCACAACGTTTCTGCTGGTCTGGGATGGACAAAGACGTTAAGGTATGGGCTCAGTCATGCTTAGCTTGTCAAAAGTGCAGAGCCACGAGACACACGAAAAGCCCTTTGGGCTCTTTTCTAGCCCCAGACATGCGTTTCGACCACGTCCATATAGGTATTGTAGGACCTCTACCGGAATCTGATGCATATGCTTACCTTTTCACTTGCGTGAATCGTTTGACGCGATGACCAGAAGTCGTACCTGTTAAGGATATTACTGATGAAACGGTATCCAGTGTTTTCGTCGAAAGGTGGATCGCGAACTTTGGGTGCCTATCTCACTTGCCTTTCAGCTGCAAACATACCTCAATGAACCGAGGCTCTGCCTCTAGTCCTACTAGGTATTCGCAACGCCCTGAAAGTTGATGCTGGATGTACCCCTGCAGGACTCGTCTATGGGACCACTCTTCGCCTACCAGGTGAGTTTATTTCTCCTTCAACTTTCAAATATGTTTCCGACAGGGCATCTTACGTGACTGGGCTTACAAACGCAACGCGTTCAGTTAGGCCTCCGGTTAGACCTCAAACGACTGATGTCTTTATTCACCCCAGTTTACAAAGGACATCACACGTGTTTATTCGCCGCGACACCGTTAGTCGACCACTTGAACCACCCTACGATGGGCCATTCAAAGCGATCAAACGACATGAGAAATTCTATATAATTGAACGAAACGAATGTGAAGATACTGTTAGTATGGACCGTTTGAAACCGGCTTATTTTGAAGGCAACCCCATTATAAGCGACGTTTCAGCTCGCTACAGCCAACCGGCGGGCAGCTCAATTACCGAAATTCTTAATAATAATAATAATAATAATATATTTCATGCAACAAAGGTTACATGAATACAAACCAGTTTACAGGTTTGATCACTTTGGTAATGAGAGATGACTATTATGTACAATGTTATGCTATACATTAGATGCTGTGATTTATGGCATATAGGAGGCATGTTGAAGCAGGCTCAGTTCGAAT